AAATCAAATTCTATTTTTTACTTTAAAAAGTTATATTCAAAACTTGTAAAAAAACTTCATATCCACATTTTTATATATAAGAAATAGGAACAGAAGTTAATAGATTAATCCTTACTTAGATATGTCATTTTACTGGCATTTTGATTTAAGAATGTAAGATTGTGTCATTTTATTTTTGAAATTATGCAGAAAACCACTTATTCCTAATGCTAGGTTTGTTTGGTTAAAAAAAGTTTAATACATTGCTATGTAGGGTGAAATTCTCACCTCTGCATTGGCTTCAGGCCTGGACAGCACAGAGGCAGACAGGGGTCTGTAAAGAGCTCGGGAACCAGCACGGACCTGCAACAACAAGAATACACAACAAGAGAAAAAAGTTTAAATACAAAGTAAAATTAACATTTTTGATAGCTTGAACCCATTGTAAGATCCACCAGACATGAACATGTGAAAGGCACCTTCAAAGTCACTGTCAATCACAACATTATCTATTCTAGCAGACACCTGTAGCAGTTAAAGTCAGAGTTTGCTTAAAATAAAAGGGATTTTTTTAAAACTATTCTGTTGTGCAATCATTGTGAAATAAATATTAACAGGACACTGGTTCTTTAATGTATATAGTATGCAGTTGTATGAAAATCTGCAGCTGATAGCATGACCTTGGAAACAAGTCAACATTCAGGGCTGCATACACTTTACACAATGTTCATAAAGACTAAAGAAACATGCATGAACAACAAGCAACACTTTGCCCTGTAATGAATCAATTACATGAACACTGAGCTAGTTTTGGCTAACGACGTCTATGACCTTAGCTAATGGTAATAACTGAAGATGTCTGTTAACGTTTGAAGCAAAAGTAAAACAGCATTTGTCTTAATCGATATGCATTATTTCCAAGCACAAATGAGCTATGTTTTCACTATGCAAAATATGGTTTTATTAATCTCTTAGCATTAGCTACAAGCTAACCTGCTGGCCTAGTCTGCAGATACCCTTGCAAACAAGCTACAGTCAAGTTCGACCGGAGGCCTACCGGATATATTTTAAATTCATATTTACATACTCGGAGACACAAAGAGGAGAATAAACTCACCACAGCCGGTGTGGAAACAAACTTTGCACAGGCGTACATCTTGTATTTCAGGTAGTTTTAACCGGTTTGATCAAATCTGGCTGAAGCCCGGGTCTTACTGAAGAAGGRAGAAAAGACAATTAAGGTCAAACAGGTGTAAAATTGCTCTACACAGAAAATAAAGACATTCGGATATACACTGTGATCTATTCTGTACACTATCCTCACTTGTGCAATGCAAGATGAAGCTATAAGACAAGGATGAATACGGATTTATCAAGATTTGATTCTCATTCAAAGTGCCATTACAGACTTACCGACTGCAGAGGTCGAACCACAGTCAAGAGAGAGCGCATGCGCAWTATGATGTTTCGGAGACCCGGATGACAGTGAAGGGTCACTTCAAAATAACTTTATTTAAAACACACGAATTGTTCTTTGTACGAAAAATAATGTATGTTTTAAAATAATGTATCTGCTTTTAACGATTCACTTATGGCCTAATTTAAATGTTTAAAACCTACATCAAATTAAACGACTTTAATTAAAACGRATCATTACTAAAGTTATTCCTACTGTACCATGTCAGTTTGTCTATATTGGGAAAGTCAGAAAATATCTCAAATAAAATATCCCACCAATTTTTAAATAACATATATTTATATGAGACTTTTACCATTTTAGTGATTTAAAAGCAGCATAGACAATAGATGGATGGATAAACACAATTATTATAGGCATGATTTTCAGATACTGTAGTTCAACTTGCTTTTTAATCCAATATTGCTCCCTTTTCGCCTCCATTGTTTTAAAGTTTTCTTAATTTTAAAGAGCCATTTATGATAGAGCGACTAATTTCTAATACTGAATGAAGTGGGGTTTTTTTTTCATCTTGGTTAGCTAAACAGGTAAACATAAATA